ATCTTACCGCCATCACGACTTGCTGCAAATAAGACAGGACATAGCCTACACTACTCTATTTTCTCACTCTATGTTGTTTAAAAAAAAAAATTTTTAACAGATTTTTTATTTCTATCTTTTTATCTGAAACTTAAAAGAAAAGAAAATCAATATTCATACTATAAAATAATAATGAAAATTCGTGTTTCTGATTTGTGTGCGCTGGTTCGAAATATGTCTCTGGTCTGCTGCTAATGGGACGTAATATGTGTCCGCTACGTCTGTTTCTTCGACATATAATTTTCAGCATAGTCTGTTAAATTTTGCTTTCCTCATTCCTTCACAGAGGCTCCTGGAGACGGCCAGAGCTCGCACAGTTGGAGCACCGTGACCACCCCGTTCAGAAACACACAGACGTCAGTCAAAGTTTCCGCACGATCTCTGTGTAGTAGTCGCCGGACTTCCGGTCACAACAGCCGCATCACTTCCGCTAGAAGTAGCGCGACGTCTGCTGCTTTAAGCACTGTGACGTCACCCTCCAGTTATCTGACTTCGACCTTGAACTCTCGGGCTACATCAGCTGTCAGTCGAGGGTCATCAAGTGCGTGTCGGAATGGCAAGATGAAGAGGGGTTGTACAGCGCCTGCTGCTCTCTTGCAGGCCCAGAGGGACATTTTGGCGGAGTTCTCAACGTCAAGACCTGGGTTAAACGTTTGGTGCATTGAGGTAAGCCTTGATGTGATGTTTTTGTTCTATTTAAGTGTCTACATACTCTTCAAATTATTTAGTCGGATTCACACCCTCACTGTTCAGTATCAACAACATCAACTTCACTTGCCTCCAGAAGTGTCCTTTTAAAAAAAATTGAGCACCCTTTCTCCCCTATTTTCAGCCTATGCAAACCCTCTGTCATCATTTTTTTAACTTGTTGTACTGCCATTTCTTAACCCCCTCCCCACCCCGGTTTTCTTCATACTTTGTGAGAAGCCATTATTAAGGTACAGACTACAAGTCTTTTTTCTGGTGGCATACCCTAAATAGGTTTTCTTTAAAAAAATTTAATAGGGGATAGCAAATTGTAATCCTCTTATTTGGTCTGTAATCCGTGCAACAGAACTCGTATGTTCTCTTTTTGCTCAACCTGCTGTTCTTAGTTATTGGTGAAAAGATTTAACACTAGCCCTTGTTTGACTGTGCGTGTGTGTGTGTGTGGGGGGGG